GCACTGCCCACCGGTTGATGCTGAAGTCTGGCCCAGTAAGTGGGTTAGGGTCTAATGATTTCTGAATGGACAATACAGTGGACGTTTTATTTTAAACTCTCTATATTATAATCTTTGAATCAGTTTTAGGGTGTTGGGTTAACAGAGGCATAAGGGAAAGCATAATGTTCATACTTGAAGGGTTCAGAGCGGCTGTGCTGTTCGGTGGTAGTTTGACCTTCCTTTCAAAAACAATTTGGCTCTAGCACAATTTTAAACTTGTTCTGCATTAGGGTAGAGCACTACTTCGTCGTAATCGCCCATTTCCGTTCTATCGGTCAAAAAAGATCAATAATATCAATGATTTCACCATGCACAAATCAATAATAGGTTTGTTCCGATGCGTTAGTTCATTAGCTACAACGTAAACCCTGTTAGAGCGCATTATATGAATATTTACGCTCATTGTTCTCAAAACAAAAGAAGCGCTCCTAGCGAATCCCCTTTTTCTACGTTTATCCGTAGGACGAAGGAAATCTAATGGCGTTTCAATGCGTTAGGATGGAATTGAAACTCGTAGAACGAATTTAGAATCAAGAAGCAGTATTACATTTTAAACAATATCTCAACAATTTGTGACTCTTTATCAAATCCAACGGTACGTATGGAAAGGTAAATAAATTTAGAAATCATTTTTGACAAAAATATTTCATTTTTCGTTCAAACTCGTTCAGAAAAGAGAGGTAAAGCGCGGGTTGTGCTAAGTAGGACGGAAATTAGATCAAAAACCCTATTCACATGTTGCAATTATTAAAAAGAGTTCGATATAAAGTAGCTAAATTCAATTAACCACTTTATTCGAGCAGTTAAAATGACGTTTACTACCACTCGAACTTTGAAATAAAACATTATTTTGTGATTTTTTCTTCTAGAACCACGAGAAAAGTAGCCAACATTTGTGCGTTTTATAAAAAAAAATAGAAATTAGTTGGTCCAGTTTTGTGGAATCGCTGGTAGAAAGTCACGCCAAAAGTGCTTGACAAAGTGGTCAATTACTCTCTCATACTCGAAATGTGCCACGACCAAATTGGCACCCTGACGCCCTATACGCTCTCTGACCGAAGCGCAGGGAGATTTGGGTAAATGTAAAGGGTGATACGGTCAAAATTTGGTCAAGGGAAAACGCGTGTAAATCGGTGAAATCGTTTATTTAAAAAATCAAATTAAATTTCTTTTTCATGTTCAATTAGTATAAAATTCAGGAAAAATATTCAGTTAGGCTTCCGCTTTTCCAAATCCGAATTGCCGGGCCTTACGCTTGACCCCTGCCATCTGATTTTGTACAGCCACCTTGTCCACCTTCTTCGCCGCAGAAAGCCAGTTTACCTTGAACTGCTGCTCGCCCTTAGCAGTTTTTTTTTGGTCTTCTTTAGGTTCCGCTTGACAATAGCCCAGTATTTCTCAATTGGGCGGAGCTCTGGCGTGTTGGGAGGGTTCTTGTCCTTGGGAACCACCTGCACGTTGTTGGCGGCGTACCACTCCATGGCCTTTTTACCGTAATGGCAAGATGCCAAATCCGGCCAAAACAGTACGGAACAACCGTGTTTCTTCAGGAAAGGCAGCAGACGTTTATTCAAACACTCTTTCACGTAAATTTCTTGGTTGACAGTCCCGGAAGCTATGAAAATGCTGCTTTTCAAGCCACAGGTACAGATGGCTTGCCAAACCAGATATTTCTTTGCGAACTTTGACAGTTTCATGTGCTTGAAAACATCTGCTACCTTTCTTCTTCCTTTTGCCGTATAAAACTCCTGTCCCGGAAGCTGCTTGTAGTCGGCTTTGACGTAGGTTTCGTCGTCCATTACCACGCAGTCAAACTTCGTCAGCATCGTCGTGTACAGCCTCCGGGATCGCGCTTTGGCCATCGTATTTTGTTTATCATCGCGATTTGGAGTCACTACCTTCTTGTAAGTCGATAGTCCGGCTCGTTTTTTGGCTCGATGCACGGTTGTAGACGATACACCCAGCTTATTTGCGGCATCTCGGAGAGAGAGGTTAGGGTTTCGCTTGAAACTACCGGCAACTCTCTTTGTCGTCTCAGCGGCTTCCGGTTTTCGATTTCCCCCCGATCCAGACTTCCTGGCTGTCGACAAACGTTCCCCAAACACTTTAATTGCATTTGTAACGGTTGATTTGGCAACTTTTAGCGATTTTGCCAACTTCGCGTGCAAGTAGCTCGGATTTTCGCGATGCGCGAGCAAAATTTTGATACGCTGCTCTTCTTGCTTGGACGGCATTTTGACAACTGAAGAGTGAATTCCAAAATCAAAATAGGAGCAACATTCTACACACAAACCTTCAAAATGAGGGGTGTTCAAGTTTTTTAAATGCAAAATTGAAAGAAATACGTCAAGTTGATATTGACCAAATTTTGACCGTATAACCCTTTATGTTTACCCATTTTTGGGTAGGTTCAGTTTTGACGTGTTGCGTGTATAATGGAACCTTAAAACTGGAAACGACCGTTTGAACGAGATAAGCTGTACCTTTTGCAGCCTTTCCAATATGGTGTGAACATTTCAGTATCTAGCCAACCGTTAAACATTTTCAGGTTGAACAGTTATGTCCATAAGTCTAGTCTTACTGGAAATATATATTGATCATCACCCATTCTTGTTCGAACAATACAATTATTTTTGAATGGTTTCGAACGAAAACAAGAATATGAGTGCATTTCTTGTTTTAAAAATATAGCTATTTCCCGGGAAGCCGAACCATATTTCGGACAGGAAACAAGCTTATTGGCAAATTTTTCAGAAATGGTTTCCCGGATTGTTGGATTGGTGCCCCGATTAGGAAACCTACTGACTATGACAGCTTTGCTTTGCTTTTTTATTTCAAAAATAAATCACATTGAATCGAACAAAAAATATTGTAGACCACGCAGATTTTTTTCTTTGAATCGAAAACAAATTTGATTAGATTAAAAAAAACTGTTTGTTGTTTTTAGAATCAACTCTCCATGTGACTGTGAGTAAATTCAACAATATTTTTCTTTGATTCTATCATGACGTTTCTTGAATCAAAACAAATATATTTTTTTCCAATTATGCGCTTCTTTTTGATTTAATTTTCATATTTTTTTTTGTTGTTTATTTAAGAGGTTTTCAGCCTTGTACGACTTACCTTGTGAAGAGCTAGTCCGAAAGTGAGTGGAGTATTTCCCGCGTATGTTTATGAAGCGTTGCCATAGAGACCTCCGTTTACGGGCATTGAACTGTTGCGCTTACAACGGAGGGTTGCACACACGGCTTGCTGACTCATAAGTGTCAAGTTAAGACCTGTTTACACTAGCGCTTATATATGCCACACAAGCCTAAAGGCTGATTCGCCTCTGAAGCATCCATATTAATTGTTTTTTTTTATAAAGACTGGAACGCGCAAAAATTGATCGACAAAAAAATCATTTCTTTCAGTCAAAATTCATATTACAAAAATCTTCTTATTTTTCTTTTGGTAGTTCAATTCATATATTTCAAGGAAAAAATGTTCCTTTATTATTTTGGTTTCCCTGAACTGCCGTGCCTTCCGCTTAACCCCTTCCATTAAATTTTGCACAGTGGTCTCATAGACCTTATTCGCCGCCGAACGCCAGTAAACTGCTGCTCGTTTTCCATGGATTTATTAGTTTTTTTTTTTAGATTCCGTTTGACCAAGGCCCAATATCGTTCAATAGGGCGGAGTTCTGGGCTGTTGGGAGGGTTGTGGTCTTTGGGTACCACAACCACGTTGTTCGCATCGTATCACTCGATTGCCTTTTTCCCCATAGTGGCAGCTCGCCAAGTCCGGCCAGAACAGTACAGGTCTATTATGTTGCTTTAGGAATGGTAGCAGCCGCTTTTCCAGGCACTCCTGGACGTAGATCTCTTGATTGATGATTCCCGTAGTAATGAAAATGCTGCTTTTTAGACAATACGTGCATATGGCCTGCCAGACGAGATATTTTTTCGGGAACTTCGATAGTTTGATGGTTTTGAAAATTTCAGCCACCTTCCCTTTTCCTGATGAGGTATAAAACTCCTGTCCAGGAAGCTGCTTGAAATCCGCCTTCACATAAGTTTCGTGTGAGAACGTCGGATTCTCTTGCTGCGCGAGCAAAATTTTGACACGCTGCTCCTCTTGCTTGGACGTCATTTTGAAAACTGGAGAGCAAACGATGAAAACTCATCAAAGCAACCATTGTATATAACTCAACTTCCAAATGCAGCATATCAGGTTTTTTATGTATTTTTAACAGAAATACACCAATTTGAAGTTGACCAATTTTTGCGCGTTCCAGACTTTATTTTAGATGAAATCAAAAAATTAAAATCTTTCTTTGGACGTCAAACAATATTTATTATACTTACAATACGGTCGTTATATACGGCTTGCTGAATTTGTGAGCTGCATCGTGGGAGCTGCATCGCTAATTCGTGTAGCCGTGGCCGAGGCTGGAAACCTCGGTCCGGTCACGACACGGGGATCTGCTAGGCGTCCGCTTTAATGTACGTCTCGTCGTCCATTACGAAGCATTTTGGCTGCACCAACCACTTGCGGTACAGCTTCCTGGCGAGGGATTTGGGCACCGTATTCTGTTTATCGGTTCGGTTAGGTGCCTTTCTTACCTTGAAGACAAGAAGTCCGACCCGCTTCATTGTCTGCTGGACGAACCAGACAGAAGAATTAATCTTCTTGGCCACGTCCCGGATCGAGAGGTGCGGATTGCGCTTGAAATAATCCCTCACCTTCCTTGCATTCACGGGGTCGATCGGTCGTCTTCCCTTTTCTTCCACTGCCAGCTCGCCGCTGGGTCGTCTGGGTCTCCTTGAACGATTTTACCACACGGTCAAATTGTCGATTCCTAACTGTTTCGCGATCCACCTGTGGGACTGGCCTGGATTTTCCACGACTTCTAAATTTAAGGAAGGGTCATCAATTCCATTAACTGCTCAGTTAGTTTTCAACTTTAAAATATTTTGTTTTCATTCTGTTTTGTTGATGTCGAAAATAGTAGTGAGGTTGAATATATACAGAAAAATGTCCTCTTTTCTTTCTTTGCTAATCAATCCAGCCTTGTTGTAATGAGACTTTAAAAAAAAGCGTCCGCAGTATAAATATATCTGTTCAGTGTAAATTATTCCTCTCCGATGTTCTAAACCGTCTATTTACAAACTTAGAGACCAATAAAACTTTGTCAAACTGGTTTCACGAATTCTGCACTTCCGCACAAAACCTAAGACGACATTGTAAGTTGTGCGGATAAGTAGTTTCGTCCAAAATAATTAGAAAACGATTTCCTACTTAAAATTAGTGGTTCGAACGCGCGCTGTTTAGCTTCCGCTGCTGTGAAACACTGAGTGCCTGAATCTACGACTGTATCCTTTTTCGAGGGATAGCTACGAAAATACATACTAACATTCACACTTACGTAGAGAACATAACCGGAACGATCCGTCCCCAGTTATGCAGTATTTCATATCACTTTGTCTAAAACATGGAACTATGATGGTATCCTACCATTAGACCCACTCGGCGCTTTGCTATGACTTTTTGCTGCCGAGTAGGGGTGTTCTCTCGGCAGCGGATGTCGAAGTTGTCGCAGCTGTCGATGCAGCCGCTGCCGTTGACCCGGACCCACTAGAACCGGGGAAAACGACTAATGGTGATTGTTGCTGGTGCGGCCGCTGCCATAGTTGCCGTTGACCCGGCTCGCTCCGAAGACTGCCACCGCGTCGTCGCATCTGGGTTTGGGTGTTAAGCTTTCAATTAGAAGGTTTCATGCCGATAGAAGAACATTTTAGAAGAACTTACATGATTGTGATGCAACTCATGCAGGTACAAAGTACTAAGACACATGTCCGCCGCCGTCACCTCGTGCGACGGTTGCTGGGACGATACACCCTCACCGTACAAGCTGTAATGATGAAAAGAGATTATAGTGATTGAAGACAATAGGCTAACAACATTCTCTAATACCTTGAAAGAAGCCCGTTACGGGAGCCTTCAGCAGGCCCTTCTCGTCTGCTCATGCCTCCTCGGGTACTGAAGCTCATGGACGACCGTGGATCACCGACGCCGCCAGCTTGACTAGATGAATACATCTGACTACCGCCAATTGCTCCCATGCCTCCTTCATTCTCATCATCGTCGTTCTCATTGATATCTTGCAAGAACGTACTCCTAAGAGGAGCCGTACTACCGTCCGTAAGGTTTTGCTGAAGCATTCGTTCAAAGTCGAACGACGGAGGCGAATTGTACTGATAGTGTGATTGCACAGTAGACTGTTGAAGATGCCCCGCCTGTAGATGAGGTGCCGTTGTTGGTGGTGGAACCGATGGAGGTGATCCAAATCCTCCCAGATTCAGTGATAAGCCCAACTGTTGCGAGTTGGACAAGTTGTGGGTTTGCAGAATCGGATGAATTATCGATTGGTACTGCTCGCCGAGACTTTCCATCGACAGGAGACTCTGTGCCATGGGGTTTGTCATGGTGGGTGCACCTCCATACAGCATGCCCCGCTGTCGGTTGAGATCTTGTAGGGCGTGGCGTTTGATACCCTGCACAAAGTTTCTGGCCTCCGGTGGCATCTGCCATGTCGGATTGGTGAGTGTAAAGTGGACCAGGGAAAGTTCAGTCTTGCCGTGCTCTCCCTGGGTGTACTGATTGTTGTCCACTAGTGGAGTATTGATGGCTTCGTTGGAGTCCTTTTCGATGGCACTGTTGGTGATCTGCCAGTCTGGATTGCCATGTTTGCGGACGTCCAGCTGAGCGAACGAACACACATCACCAACCCCGATGACATCGACCGTAAAGTGACGGAAGAAATCAACCAAATCAAGCGCTTTTGGCTTGACAACTAACAGCAGAACGAACGGCGCTACAAAGGGGCTGAACAACTCGTTCAGAATGTACATCTGGAAAACAGTCATGGTTCAATGAAATAAGAAATTATTAACGTCGGTTCGAAAGTAGTATCTTACAGCTTTCAACTGGAAAAATTGCTCAAATTGGTCTCGAATCATGGAGGTGTGGGCATAACCACGCCATGAAGCCGGGAGATAGTGCACATGGGCAAGGACGTTTCTCAGCAGCTGTTCCGGACACCAGATCATGTTCTCGTCTGGGATCATAGACCTGCGACATAGGTTAGAGTTTAACATTACAATAAGTTGAATTTGTAAACCGTCGTTGTACACACCTTGAAATGACACTCGCTGCACCCAGAACGGTAAAAATGGTGAACACATGCTGCACCTGAAACACATCTTCGTCGTAAACCGCCAACAGGAATATCAACGATGCGACACCGCCACAAACGAAGGCCACATTTCTGAAAGAAAGAAAAATGGAAAATGTAGAGTTAGGTACTCCCAAGTTTCTCGAAATGTTGCACTAGCTCTCCGCCTTGCTCTGAATCACGGATGTACTTCACAAGGATTGCTAGTTTTACATCCGAAAACGATATACCCAAGTTGGTACGAGAGCCTCTGCATTACGATGGTGATATGTCTGTCCGAAAACAAGTGCCCCCGTGGTAAGACGCTTCAACGATGGATTACGTTTCGTTTAGAGTCGGATTAGCAAACAATTTCAAACACATGGTCATAAAATCATCTACTTGGTCGAAAGGATTGCGATTTCGTGAATTTGGGATTACAGAAAACAGTAGGTATATGAAAGCCTTCGTTGTCGTCAGATTAATTTGCATCGCAATTAATAAATGCTAATATTTTATATTAAATGTCTTATTGTTAATTGTTTAAGCTTGTTATGTTCAATTTTCGTTGTTCGATCTCTTTGATGTTCGATGAAACGCTTACAGTGAAATTGTAATATTCAACGTAAACACAACATTTCATTTTCATTTTGCAGCGTTAGGTGGGCAAGTCAATCCAAAGACTGAGGATAAAGGAAGGGTAATGGCTGAATAGTCTATGCGGACCACTTGAACGCCATGGGAAAAGCAAGGGATTGATTCATCCTTTCACATAGGGTAAATGTCTCTAATGTTAGCCTATGGATCTAAGATTGGGCCCATCGCTAAAAATCCGATTTTTTTCGATTTTATCTAGACGAACACGTTATTGGGACTTTACTAATGGATATTTTTGGTTGCTATTGAAAATTTAGCCGGTTGCTGAATTTATGTAAAGGGTGTCCACGATGAAATTGCCACACACAAAATTGATTCGCAAAATTCGAGTTTTCATCCGATTGCCATCCAATTTTCAGGGATTGAGAAATAACTATTAAACTTCATTTTACCATTTTACTCGTATTTTATTTACAGTCCATACGCAAATGCCCGCACCTTGGCCTTAACCCCGGCCATAAGATTCTGCACAACCTGTGAATCAACCGTTTTTTGCATGTAAACCCATACTTTCTTCAGTTCCTCTACTGTCTTCACTACCTTAGGTCGTTTAAGAAGGTGCTGCTTCATAATCGCCCAGTACTTCTCGATGGGGCGGAGCTCCGGAGTGTTGGGAGGGTTGAACATTTTCGGCACGAAATTGACCTTATTGTCCGCATACCACTTCAGCACGTCCTTGGAGTAGTGCAATGAGGCCAAATCCGGCCAGAAGATTGTTGGGACGTTGTGGGCCTTCAGGAGAGGAAGCAGCCGCTTCTGGAGGCACTCTTCTATGTACACCTGTCCGTTCATCGTGTCCTGGGTAACGAAAGGTGCACTCCGCTTCCCGCACGTGCAGATGGCTTGCCAAACCAGGAATTTCTTCGCAAATTTGGACATCTTCTGAGTGCGGACATGCTCCGGAACGCTGAACTTATCCTTGGCCGTGAAAAACAGGTTGCCGGGGATCTGTTTGAAGTCGGCCTTCACATATGTTTCGTCGTCCATGATGCAGCATTCAACTTTCGTCAGCATGTTGAGGTACAACTTCCTGGCACGGGTTTTGGCGGACTTGTTCTGCTTCTCGTCGCGATTAGGGGCCTTTTGTACCTTGAACGTTCGAAGCCCAGCCTTAGTTTTGGCCTTCTGGACAAAACTTCGGCTTAGGTGCAGCTTCTTAGCCACATCCCTAACGGAGGCGTTCGGATATCGGTTGAAGGCCCCAACTACGCGGTTGTGATTTTTGGTGTTGTACGGAATACTTTTTCCTTCACTTCTGGGCTGCCGATCGGTGGTCAACCGTTCCTCGAACCGCTTAATCACTCGCGACACCGTGGAATTCACGATTCCCAACGTTTTAGCGATGGAACGATGCGAGAGATCCTTGTTCTCGTGATGAATGCGCAAGATTTTATCACGCACGAGCTGTTCTTTCGACTCCATTTCCGCGAGTTTTGATCACAGGACTTTAAAACTTGCAGGATGTAAATAATGCACTATGAACTAAATCCACCCAAATTTTCATTAAATTCTACCCAACGGTTAAAAAGTTAGAGCAATTTCATAGTGTGGCAATTTCATCGTGGACACCCTTTATGGGCCCAAATTAGAGACACTTAGGCCGACATTACCTGTATTTCCCGTATATACCAAATTGCAGGGTGTCCATTCAAATTTAATTTTTCAATTCCCGGTTTTTTCCCGCGTATTTAAAAAAAAACTCTACCTTAAACGATGATAATGAGGGATAATGATAAAATTTTGTCAGCACAATTCCTCTACAATATGCAGGACTGGAAGTGGGTATTTTATACAATAGTATTAACTACAATAACGAAAATGAATATATAGGAAAATATTGACCCAAAAAAACAATAAAAAAGTGACCAATAGCGACATTTATTTATCGGTAAGATATTAAAGATATGGATCTAATCTGTCGTTGAATGTGATCCGCTTTGACAAATATTATAAATTCCCAAACCATTATGAGCATTTTACAAGCTATTTTTAAATAAAACAAATGGTTGAAGCACAGACAAACAGACGTAACTCTTGGAAAAAGTTTTTCTTGAAAACATAGTATCTCAAAACATAGGATCTCAGTAACGACATCTCTCGGACTTCTCGCGGAAAACAAGCTTGCTCGCTAACTCGCAAACAATATTGCATAAAAGTTTTATAGAATGTATAGAAATGTCAAAGTGATCCGATGCCAGCGCTGCGACGAGTAGTTCGCGGAACTGATAATATTCAAATCAACCGTTAAATGCGTAAACGAAGATACACAATGAAGAGTTACGTCTGTTTGTCTGTGGTTGAAGCATCTTACAAATTTGTTTTCGAAAAATCAGTATTAATTGGATAATCAATAGGTTAATAGGTTACAATCCATTTCCCACACAGTACTAATTTTTCTGCCACGATTTTTTGGAAACCAACCGTTGAATAAGTTGAATTTAGATTCAGATCGCGAATTGGTTGAATTTCGGGATGTGAAAGATTGGACAGAGAAATTTATTAGGAAATCGTGAAATTGAAAAAAAATGAGGCACAGAGAAAAATGTTCAACGTCTTCCTCAAGTTTGTCAATTTTAACCCTCCGTTACTCGCGCTGTTGTACTTTGTACAACACACATGAGTTTTCCATTGCCATTTTGTTGCTGAGTAACCAATCGATCTGAAACCAACCAGTATTCCTCAAAAAACTTGTTTTGATCTAAACAAGCTAAACTTTGATTACAGTAAACACCTAAAAAATGCGGATAATAGGGAAAATGTAAATGGAAACCGCGTAAACTGTGACCATACAACGTGGGATTTGACTTAATTGAGTGCAACATGGAATACATCGAGATCCTGACCAGATAGAAAATTACTGTCTTGGACAAAGTTGTTCAGGAGATTATAGCCTTGTCGCTGGTGAACAGTAGTTCAGAATTTTCTCACTACGTAGCGCTAGTATACATGTGAAATTCTCGCATGTGATATATCTCGAGATCCTGACCAGATAGAAAGTTACTGTCTTTCACAAAGTTTTTCAGGAGATCAAAGCCAATTTCTTGGTGCTCAATAGTTCAGATTTTTGTCCCTACACGACGCTAGTATACACGTGAAATTCTCATATAAAATATCTCGAGTTCCCAACCAGATAGAAAGGTACTGTCTTCGATATAACTGTTCAGGAGATCAATACATTTTTGCAGGTGAACAGTAGTTCAGAGTTTTCTCACTCCACGGCGCTACTATACATGTGAAATTCTCGCATATAAAATATCTCTAGATCCAGATAGAAAGTAAATGTATTCGGCATAGTTTTTCAGGAAGTCAAGATCTTTTTGTTGGGTGACAATAGTTCAGATTTTTCTCACTATGTGGCGCTAGTATATACGTGCCTTTCTCGCATACTCAGCTCGAGATCTTGATCAGCTAGAAAGTTGCTGTCTTCGGCAAAGTTGTTTAGGGGGTCAAGAATTTTCTCACCACGTGGCAAATTTTTCGTTGAGATCCAGCAAAATAAAATACCGAGCTGCTCGGTGGTGCCCATCTCGGCAAAAAATCTAAGTGTGTAGGTACATCCAAAGTCATAAAGAAAAGGCCTGATAATATGAAATTACCATCTCTTTCATTATACCGTTATTTCTACGCTTCTAGGAGTGTGACGTCGAATTTATGGTTACATACATCTTATCTTAAATCTAAACGAGAAGAATCTACTCAGTTCATCTAAAATGTGTAATGTAATGTAAAATGTATAAAATACATACACACGAGTTAGCCAGTCGAGCCATAGGACTATCTCAGTCGTGAGATTGTTTTACTCAGTTATCTGGAGAAATTTCCAAAATCGTAGTTCACTCAGCGCTGAGTAACCTACGCTCCCGATCATAAGTTTAAATACACCCCCAAAATACATGCAAATGTGTTTTGTTCAAAGCTCTCTCATTTTTTGAAAATTATATTAGGCAATTTGCTTCTTCGTATTTCCTTTCAAAATCTTTCAAATGTTCTAAAAAACGAAAATTGGACGTAAAAGGACAAAGATATGAACATAGCACATTTGCATGTTTTTTGGGGGTGTCCTTAAACATATAATCGGGAGTGTACGATTTTATAAATTTCTCCATTCAACTGAGAAAAAGTACCTCACTCTCTGAGTTAGTCTCGTTGTCCGTGCACACGTAAATACAGGGATTTTTTTTTGTTCTAGACCCCTCTATAATACATTTTGAAATTAGCCTAAAATGAAAGGGAGACTCTAAACATTCATTTGGTGGAAGTTTCAGCGATATTGATCTTTTAAGATAATGTTTTCCATCTGAGATACGTGTAAACACTAATTTATCAGAAGTATACAAGTGGATCGAATCACCCCAATTTATGTATCCACAAAGCTGCATGAAAATCTTCACCAGTAAAAGAAATCCAGAATATATTTGTTAGGATGATGTAAATTGTATTTTTATTTTATGATATTT